AAATTAAGACCCGAATACCCGGCCCGAACCATGACATCAAGCTTAGACTTCAGGAAAGGCGGCTGATCAAATAAATATTTTCACTTACTCATTCCCGGAAGCAGCGTGAATTTGGGAGGGAAAGGGGAAAGGGAGGCAAAGTAAAGAACTTTCATGGTCGGCGGTGACAAGATGTATGAACTCCAGCCATGATTGGATAAACCTAAGACAACACACTTGCTTTAAGGCACGTGCGCTTGTACTCCTAAGAAGCTTCTAAAAGGTCTCACTTCCTGCTAGCCCTAATCCCTTCTTCTTCCCTTCGTCACTCTCAAATGGCCAACTGATCGAAGAAAGAATTGCTCTGAATTCCCTGAAACTCAGAGGAACCAATCGTGTAGCGTCAATATTCAGGTGGGTGTCTGTAAATTTTCCCATTCGCGCAATGTGCTACTTCTATTTTAGTGCTTACTTTAGTGGGTTTCTTAAGGCCTCTGTATAGCTCAATTTAGTTTTTTTTTTCTTTTTTTAAAGCAATTTCTATGTTTTGTTTCTTGGAAAGTTGAAAATTTTGACATTTTGGGTCTTGGGTTTTCTCTGATTTCTGTTTTTTGACTGTTGGATTGAATGATTGGTTAGTTAATCGAACTTAATTAATTTTTTGGTGTGCGTAAAACAATCTATGTTTTGTTCATTTTGTTTCAAAATAAGTAATCCAGCTGATAACAGTAGACACTGTGGACTTTGATCACTGTAGTTGACTAGCCTAGCAAAACAAAATAAGTGATGATGGTAGGGTTTGGGCAGTTTTGATGGTGAATTAACTTTTTTTAAAAAAATAATGTTTCTTTTGTGTATTGGCTGAAATATAGATTTGGGATGATTGTGAGGAACTCTGAAATTGCAATGGTGGAGGGTCGGCATTTTTCTCGAGTAGACACTTTGGAGATAAAATCTCAGATTGAAAGGAAGCTTGGGCATCTTAAAGCGGAGAAGTATTTTAAACTGCTGGCAAGATATTTGAGTCTTAAGATTTGCAAATCTGAGTTTGATAGGCTTTGCATTGGCACAATAGGAAGGGAAAATATCCATCTTCATAACCATCTCCTCCGATCAATTATCAGGAATGCTGCCCATTCAAGGACTTCCCCATCAAAAGATAATAAAGTAGAAAGTTCTCTATGCATTAAAGTGGCAAATAGGATTCAGAGAAGTAGTCTTCAGTCCCTATGCAAAGATTTTCCCCAATCGCCCCGTAGAGGCAGGACACCAAATCTTCGTGATCGCAAGTTCAAGGACCGTCCAAGTCCTTTAGGGCCTCATGGGAAGAGCCACGATACTGCTTTTGAAGATGCGGTTCCCAAAGTTCAAGAGCAACAGAGTGCTACTGAGCTGGTTTCTCTGAGCAGCAGACCTCCAGGCTCTGTGGAGGATGGAGAAGAGGTTGATCAGGCTGCAGGAAGTCCAAGTATTCACAGCAGGAGTCCTGTTACAGCTCCACTTGGGATTTCCTTTAACGCTAAAGCTATACGGAAAATACCATCTACTGGATTTTCATCCTCTTATTACACGAAGAGTTGTCATACCAGAGGTGAATTACCTGATACCAGTTTTCTAAGGAAGAGGTTGGAACAGAAGTTGGCCATGGAAGGACTAAAGATATCAGTAGATTGTGCTAATTTGATGAACAGTAGCCTTGATGTTTTCCTGAAAAGACTAATAAAACCATGCTTGGAAGTGGCTGGTTCTAGGTCTGGACACATACTTTCTGACCGAAGACATAATTATTCAACACGGTGTTCAAGTAGAACATGGTCTGGGAGATCTGCACAGAAACTAAGCGGGTTAGTTTCTGCCTCAGTGTTAGACTTTCAAGTTGCAATGGAGCTAAATCCCCTGATTCTTGGTGAAGACTGGCCAACACAGATGGAGAAGGTTTGCCTTTGTGCATTGGAAGAAAGAATTGGAACCAATTAGCTGCATGTTTGGGTGAGATTTGGTTCCACCCAAGGTGATTTTGAGTTATTTATAAAATAGACTAACGTCAATCTTGATCATACCATTTTTATAGAACCGCTGAACATAAGTATAAAGGCTACAGGAGTTTCAGGTCAAGGTGATTAGAATGTATATAGGTCATGGTCCTGGTCTTCCTGGGGGTGGAACATCTTGACATGGAGAAATTCAAATATTTTGACTCTGTAAGAATCAACCCCTTACAAATAGGTCATTGGCTTTCTTTAACTAGTATATAGTTCAGTTGTTGTCATGAACTTTTCATTTGTTAATAAAGTTTATGTTTGAAATTTTAGGCTTGCTGTTATTGAGTTAATAATGTGCTGTTATTGAGTTAATAATGTGAACTTCAGTTAGCTATTCGTTCTATGAAACCTGCTTTGTCTAATAGCTTGAGTGAATGGTGAATACTTTCTATCTCCTTTCGCTCTGGTTGCTTTCTTGCTGCCATAAAATAATATTATGCGGTGACTTTTGGGTGCCTTGTCGGATATAATGATTTCATTCCTTTTTATTTGGAGAGGGGAGCCATTGAAGGAAGACATCCTTTCTTTTACATGGAGTTGTTACCATCTAAATCAGCAAGGCTTTCTTTTTGTAACTTTGCCTGAGAAGTTGACTTCAGATGTTGTCTTGCTAATGGCTTATCTTATAAGGGTTCAGTAAGCCCTTTGCAAGACCTCCTTTGAGCACAGTTTTCTTAATATATTTTACCGTTAAATACATATAGTTGTATTCTTCACGTCAGTATTTTACTTGGAAGTATTCTGTCATATTGTTATTCATTTTGTCACTTTCTAGTTTGTATCTGTTACCAAACTGCTTCTATATCCTTGATTGATGATATTGAATTCTTTTAACTTTTCCTCTTTCCATCTTGTTCTCCCTTTCTAAACAATTGTTTCACATCATTAAAATGGAATAAGAGTATCATACTAACCCTGCAATGCGTGTAGGTTATTTCATCATCCATCTTTTGTCTTCATTCTATTCTATGTCATGCCAGAATTCCACCTTTGGAAAGATAGATAGACAGATAGATCTGCTTTGCTTATATTTCCTTACAATTTGCTTCTTTTTCATTGGTGGGCGCAGATAAAGTCCCACCTGACTACCTGAGCGTTTGATAGTAATTGTTTATCTATTACAAACATGGAGAAGATACTGATTTCCAAATATCTTGAGGATGATTTGATATTGGAATGTGAAGTAATAATTTTGGATGCCATGGATATTCACTTGTCTAAAACATAACCATTGTTACTTGGTTCTAAATACACATGAAAGTGCCTATCCTATTACTCTGACAAGTAAATGTTGGGAAGAGCTCTGCTTAGTCTTGTGTTTTTCCCATCTAAAGAATCGTTAATATGCTTTCTGAAAGTGTGGGTGTGCGTTTTTCTATTTAATTGATGAACCACCTCAGCTATTTCCTCTAGAGTCTGCGTTGAAAGGCAGTATGACTCATTTTTACCACATGACTTGTTTGCTAACAGCAGGCATTTGCATGATTTTTAGTGTTATGCAGGGAATTTGGTTTGAGTAATTTGCTTCATCAGAAAGCCAGTCTTGCAGGTCATTCCTTTGCCCTCTTTTCATGATTGATGCCTTTCTGCTTTGTTTCTTTTGTGCAAACAATAAGATTTAAACATCAATATAAACACATAATAAGCTTCATTTACTAACTCAGACGGAGCGCAGTTTTGTTCTGAAATTAGATTTAATGCGAGAGACAGATTAATATGTTTGATGAGTTGAACGTTTCCATGCATATCTATCTGGTTTGGTTACTGCGTTCAAAAACTCACTATTGCTTTTTCATCTATGCGCTAGTGGTGCCTGTGGGAGACCTTGGACTGATTCAGATCTTGTTGCTTCCTAGCTTTTTCTTCATCCACCCACTTTACTGTTTGGCGTTTTTTGAGTTAATGATTGAGGTCTTGCTTGCCGTGTTCAAACAATTGATGTTTTCTGTAGCTGGAGTTATTTTCCCAGTAAGACTATTTTTACTTTTCCATACAAATTTAATGCATGAGATGCTTGCTTCAATCATGTACAAGTGGAGATGGGCACAGACCTTGGAAATTTTGGAAATTAGGTAACTTGTCAATCAATAGTGATTTCGACATGAGACAACATCACTACGTCTTTTTATCGTGGAAAGCTCTCGATATGTAAGATCCTTTTCCATTTTTCTTGCATTATCATCGTCCATCTAAATTTTCTGATTAGAGATAAGATTATAGAACATGTGCAGTGCTTTGAATACTTGGCATAATTTGTGCGGGGAGAGATATCACGTTTTTCTTTATCTTTATAATCGACATTTTTCATTCGTGGCTTGTCTACATAAAGTACGACATTAAAATAATTGATCTAGAAATACGGCATTCAGGATGATATTGACATTTTTTCTGCTGTACTTTGGATTAAAACTGAGTTTGATTGTAACCTTGCATCTACCTATTAGCTTAACCACCTAGAACTTGCTTTCAAATAATAAATGTTTGAATTTGAGTCATTTGTAGAACCCTCAAATTCACCCTTAAAAAATAGACAGTCGGTAGGGATACATTCATCTTTTAAAAAAAATGAAGGGATAAATTATTTTTTTAAATTATAAATCAATACAAATCATTCTTTTTTAATGTTTTTCATTAAAAAAATATTGATGTGATAAATAAAATTTTGATGTTTTTTGTTAAAAAAGAGATGATTTATATTAATTTATAATTTGAAAAAATAATTTATCTTTTTATTTTTTTAAAGAGTAGATGTGTCCTTATCGATATTTTTTAAAAATAGATTTGAGGGTTTTGCCTCATTTATAAGTACTACTAGATATGACTCTGCATCATGTTAATTCGGTGCAGGAATTGAAAGTTGCAGAAAAATGGGGTTATTTGAATAATCAAAAGGTAGATTAATTTGATGACTGGACTGCATGCATTTCGCCGGACAGAAATTTAGTATTCTGATTGGTAGATGTGGAGAAGATGCCTCCAACTTGTTTGTTAGGCAATTTAACTACTACTTTGGATAGCCATGCACATGCTTTTGAAGAATATTCTTCAACAAACTTCCTTTTCCCTTTCCACCCCTAAAAAAAAAATCTCCTTCCCTCTATGTTTTTTCTCAAATTTAGGACAATTATATACAAATCATGGATGAATGTTTAGAAAAAAAAAAAATACAAATCATAGATGGTGTATTTTTTACTTATGAATTCATTTGACTAATCCATTTGACTTACAAATTGTGTGAATAGAGTCACGACTTGATTAATCATGGGGTTGTCTCTCAAATCAATTTTATTTAATACAATTTGTTTTATTTAATACAATTTGTTTAACATGTAACCTAAAGTAACCTAATCCAATTGTGGGTGGGGTCATAATCTGATCAGTTATAGATTACTTCTCTAATAGATTTGATTTAATACAACATGTTTGACATTTAACTCACAATAACTTAATTTAAAGTCACTTAAGTCATAAATTGATCGGTCATGGCCGCCTCTCTAATCAATCTCACTTGCCACAATTCATTTGGTATGTGACTCACAATAATCTAATTCAACCCGACCTAATCTTTTTGCCAAATCTAATTACAAGCTAAAATACATGACAGTTCATTTTAGCTAATTCATGTGAAGCTGCCATTATTCACAAGTGGATAGGGATTGGATCAAAGACAAAGTTTATTCCACAGGTCAAAGCTGGTGTTTGGTGGTATAAAATGAGCCCATCTTCGTTAAAATTGCTTGTTGAATATCAGAAAGGATTTTGTCCTAGAAGAACTGAGAAAATTCCAAAACCAAGATCAAACCATGAGGCTGCTGTAGCTTTTATTGTTCGTTTCTCCTTGTAATATAAACTTATCTGAATTATTACAACCCCATACAAATGCCATTAAAATTTATAAACTCTTAAACAGAAAATTGAATCTCTTTCCTACAAGTCCGGGACTTCCTCAATCAATTGAACGCAGAACAGTCTTTACGAATGTTGCCGTTCTTTCCTGTCTTTACACCCACCCTCCCCAGCTTGGTCATGGCAGCAACGAAGGCATTTTGGAAGGCCTGCGAACTGGAGGCCCATGCATTTACTGTAGCCTTGGATCTGGAATCTGTGAACAGAATCTGGTCCGAGGTGAACAGGCCCTTGCCCTGTTGCAAGTTCTTGTAGTATACGTTGTCAAAGTTCCTGGGCGTGGTTGGGTCCATGTTGATGGCTATCGTGGGATCCACGTTCCTAGGACACATTTGTTGAAGCTGAGTTGCATATGCCTGGTTTAGTGTAGGGTCCACAGGATTTTGATTGCTGAAACTGTATATCCTACTCGCAAATTTTGAACAGTGAGAGAATCCAACGGTGTGCGCACCTGCAAAACAAAACCATACAGACAAACACGTCCTTATAATCAATCCCCACCTTAAAATATAAAATAGCTAATGCCGGCTTTCCATGGCTACCTATACAATTTTGGGCCGGTTCAGGTTCCAAACCGCAGGTTTAATTGGTTTAAATTGGTTTGATACCTAATTTTGGTTTGGTCTTTATTTTACTTTAGTTCTAATCGTCCTTTAAAAAAAAAAAAATTTTGGTTCAATTCGTTAGACTTTGTTTAACTAAATAATTACCAATCGACTAAAATACAGTCAATTTTAGAAAATGGGCTAACCTGAGCCAAATTTTAATCGGTTTCAATCTCAGTTTCTATCGCGATTGGGACCAGTTTGTTGGCCAAGTCCAAGGCTAATAATTAAGAGGATGGTGACCATTCAGGTGGGTCCTTTGGATTCTTCTACATGGACCCACCAAAGAGAAATCAAATTGTGACTTGTCAGCTTGTGATTGTAGAATACCTGAAAGAGCAACCATGTCTGATTGGGAGAGTCCATTTGCAGCAAACAGGGCATTCAGCTGATTCAAATCGAAAAATGGCTGAGGCAGCTTCCCATCGACACTAGAAGCTGTTGAACTTAATCCATCCAATCTTCCCAGCTCAACAGCATACGATGGACCACCGGCCTGCATTAATAAATTAACTCTAACTTAATAAGAACAAAGGTAGATCCAACGTAGTTAAGTATTAAAGGGTTAAATTAATTAATTACCAGAGCAATAACATCACGAGTTGCCATGGCCAGAATATCAGCACAAGAGACCTTATTCTGGCATTGAGGAACCGCATCCACTGCTGCTTTGGCCTTGATCACGGTGTCGAATCCATCCCCGGCTAACGATAGGTTGTCAGGGTGATCTTTCTCCGCCTTATTGCCTCCAGTGGATGCAATGATAACCGAAGCATCACAACCCTATATCAACCGGAACCAAATTTGAGGAATAAAAGAAAGAAAGAAAGAAAGATTTTCTTCAATTTGAGTATATGAATGAATACCTGAACGAAGCAATCATGGAAGAAGAGACGCAGGGTCGCAGGAACAGTGACGAAAGTTTGTTGGAACTTCTTTGTGACTGCATTTTTCACAATACTCTCTACATTGGGGCAGATATTGGCATAGTAATTCTGTTTTAGTTGAGCAGAGACGGAATCAGGAAAAAGAGATAAACTCAGGGAAAGTGACACCAAAGCCACGAGGATGACTCCAAATCGATCCATTTGAGCAGAATTTGAATTACTACTTGTAATGCGTGTAGAAACTGAAGGGCAGAGGGAGTTAAATAGAGAGAGTTAAATAGAGAGAATAAGTGATGATGCATGAGCCAGTTGGCGTTGGAATCTTTTTTATGAAAGAAATTAATTAATAGGGTGTTTTGATTAAAGAAATGGAGACGGGTGAGTTTGAAAGGGACATTGATGCTGGCTCTGTCAAAGGCCGCCTTCGTTTGTTTGGTACGTTACTGCTTTGTTCGTAATCCAAATACTACAGTTTAAAGTTTTTTTGAAGTCTTTGGTCCAATTTTGATTCTCCAAACGTGGTCCAAAAGAAGCACCCAGAGAAAAAGAGGATCAAGGCTAAGATGTGGGCTGAGAGCGTAGCAAGCGCGTTAAGGAAACTTTCCTGCGTGCTTCGTAGATTGAAAGTTGTAATTAAGTTTAGCAGGGACAGCCACGCAAATTTCTTTTAGAGCGCCGGTAGGATTGAAGCATTTTGATAATGGTAGTCAAACAGAAAATGGGACACATAAATTTATCCAATAAAAATGTTAAGCAGTTGGAGGAGAGGGTGCACCTAATTAAATTAATAGGTCATTGGCGCTAGCTAGGAAATAGAAACACTAATCATGTATCATGACAGTTAATAATTAATTTAGTCACCATAATGAAACTAGTTTCACTGTATCACAAGATTTTTTATTGATTTAATTAAGATATATATCCATGTAATACAATAGAATTTATCGATTTAAAAATTGATAGTTGTAAAATAAAGTGCACAATGTATATATTTGCCTAGAATTTTGAATACCCAAGTCTAAAAATCCTTTAATTGTAGATGTTGTCACATTTGTCCAATTTAAATAAAGCCAGCAAAGCCACAAAGGAAGGAAACAAAAGACATGTGGTTTCCCTTCCCCACATATCCCAAATCTCTATCCAGTCTGCAATATCTTTTTTGTAGTATGCAAAGAAAAATAATTCAGCGGTAAATATTTTATATTA